TTTGTTTGTTTGTTTTTTTATCATGGCTGGTAGAATGTAAGTTCCATGAGGGTGGGGATCTTTGTTTCTTTGTTCATTTACATTTACCCAGCCTCCAGGATACTGCTGGTTGTGTAAACAACATTCAGTTGTTTGTTTAATGAATTGTAGACAAAGGGGTGAAGTATGTGCTACCTCTATGAGTTGAAAATTCTTATTGCTTTTTAGATGCAAAACAGCTTCGGGATGAACATTGCCAGTGCTACAATTGCACTAGTGGGGTTTGTTTTTCTCTCAATCAATTTAGCAGTTAACAGCCTGTCATTCAAGAGCTGTCAGTCTTCACCATCACCGGACTTGTGCATTTACACGGGTGCCTCATCACACAGATGTTTTAAAAAATTATGTTTCATTGTAAAATATTTCAAACAACCTAAAACATACAGAAAAATAATATACCAGTTACCATTCTGCCTTGATTTGAATCTCAGCTCTGCCACTTATTAGCGCTGCAATGAAGGGCAAACTAGGTAACCTCTGCGTTTCAACTTTTTCATCTTTGAAATGAGAATAGTAATCTCATATGGTTAGTACAAGGATTAAATAAGTTAATATTTGATAAGCAACTAAAACAGTCCTTAGAACATTGTTATATTATTATTAATATTAGTGCTACCACTATTATTAAAATCCCCAGAGAGATTAAATTAAAAAATTTTTTTCATTCCACATCTTGCTTCCTAAAACTAACTTGGAAATCATATTTTTCTTTGTGGTCTGAGATTTTCAAATAATCTCTTATTGAAAATTTGGATGATTTCAATTTTGAATTTATTTGAGTATGATATTTTCAAAGGAAAAGATCTTTAATAACCTTTCCAAATTATTATTTGTTTTGTTTGTGTTTAGGCATTCTCCCTCTCCTGAGGTCAACTTAGAAATTAATATTTTCCTTCAAATCTGTCCCTTTTTCCCCATGATGATTTATGAACTTTTATTTACTGACTCACTCCTAATTCTCCTGTTTGCTGATGCTACTTGTGGAAGTTAGTGTCCTCGTTTTCTTCATTATATTTTTATTGATCTCAGTTTCTATTTATATGGGTCTGATTTTTCTGTGGATTTTGTGTTATTTTTCCTCCAGAGCAATTTTGTATTTGCTTCTTCTAGGTGCCTCAGTAATAAAAGAAGTAATTTTTTACTTAGCATTTTAGCTTAGTGTTTTAGTTTTTAGGAATAGTGTAAAATGCCTGAATCTATATGAAGTACCACTAATGAAATGGTGGAGGGGTCATTTTTCGTCCATTTTTTAAAACTACCTACTCACCTTCTTAGTTTGCTCCTCTTCCAGTTGGTAGATAATAGTGATGGTGTCAGAATTTTGCTTCTACAGCTTCTTCCCCCCATTACTACTTCCCATACCTTGATACAGAAATACAATGTATCTCTCTTTCCAGGAAAAATATTTCCATGCTTTTAGATTGATATTTTGTCTCTTAGAGAGTGATGGTGTGTGTCTGTGCATGAAACCTAATTTGTGGTTTACGTTGTTCCATTTTATGGGAGGGAGACGCTGTAAGTTTAGTTTCCTGCTGACATTTTTTTTCTCTGAATGTTTCTACTGGGTTTGATTGATGTGAGGCATCATATCCCCTAGGGCCTTGTGTCTCTAATGCTGATCCTTACCTTGCTGGAATTGTGCATAACCATCTCTATCTCAGCCATGTGGTGCAAAGCAAACTGCTGTCATTCAAGAGAGGTAGGTTTGTTTTAATGACTAGTGATTCACATGGTCTGCAACCTCCCTCTAGGGTTTAAGGTTTTCTCTGACTCTTGAAATTGGAAAAAAACTTCTGGGTGGTAATAATTTGTGGGGTTCCTGGAGTTATAGCTGGTTGAATGTTAGAGATGAAATAAAGCCTGAAAAAGAATTCTGATGTATAATAACAATGCAAGAGGAGATAGTGTATTTCATACCTAAGAGCACACATTTTTTTATACAGATAGAATTAAGATATTATTTTCTTCTATCTTGTCACTTTTTAGCTGTATGCCCGGGGGGGGGGGGATCACAAATTGCTTCCATATTTTTGGTATTTTAACTGTGACCATGAAAATGTTTTCATTCATTTCTGATGTTTGTTGTAAGGACTATGTATATAATACCTTAGCACAATGATAGTCAGCAAACGAATATTATTGATGATGATAATTATGATAATAGGAAGGGATAGAAGCAGAGGGAGGTGATGATCCTATTCTTGGAGATTGATATTTTATTTTTCAGGTAATTTCCTCAACTCCCTATTCTGTGGAGTCAGGAGCGTATCTTCATTAAAGTAAACCTGAGAGCAAAGAAATTCAACCCCAAATCTCCATGAGTTAGAGTTTCATCCAAAAACTCAAGAGAATGCGAGCCTGTGAAACACCTTCCTGCTATCATGGCAGCAGCCATGAGAAATGTGGACATTTACTCAATCCTTTGTGTCCTAACAATAAATCCCATTCGTGTGTCCTGGTAAAGAAGGCCAAACGTGCTTCTTTAGGTATTCTTGGCCTTGTAACTTCTGTGATCACCACTCCAAAGTTGTTCCCAGAAATGACTTCTCTTTCTTCTCACCCATCTATCCATTGCCTTACAAGGTGTAAAGAAGGCAGGGAGAACTATCTTTACCTCATGCATTCTCTCTAAAATCCAACAGTCATCCAGCCAATGAGAAGAAAAATGAGTCAGGTTTTTGTTCATTGCAGAAAAATGTTTCTTGATTTTAGCTGACATCAGCATTGCAAAAACTGTCAAATAAAAAAGATCATTATCATCATCGTTAAGACAAATTTTAACGATATTTGAGGTGAGAGGGTTAAGCCTCAAGATTTTATTTCAGTCAGCTGCTGAGATTCATTTACGCATGCCCTGGTACAAAAAATGATGGTTTAGATCAGGGTCTTTGAGAGCAAGATCAATATTTGTTCTTCAAGCACGGTGATAAACTATAAAACAAACAAAACAAGGAATAGGGCTTTAAAATCCCACAGATATAGGTTCAAATTCTGATACTGCACTCATTACCTGCATGAATTTGAGCAAGTTACTACTTAACTTCTCTGACCTATTTTTCCTCATCGGTATTATCAACTATCTCATCAGTTGTTATGAGGGTTAAACAAAAGTAAAGCAAACGTGAAATAGCATCACAACTATTTGACAATGACCTTGCTGTTGTTGGTGGTCTTGTTGGGGCAGTTGAGGCTCAGGTGGGATTGTGGTCAGAGGTACAGGAAAGAGCAGAAACCCTCACACTGTGGCTCCTCCTATACCCTCCAGTGACTTCCATAGTTCCCTTTTAAGGTGGCAATTGGATGCTAGTGTTCTCTCTGATGTACCTGGTTCCTGTTTTATAAATCTGCTGAAGTACTTGTATTTCTGATTTATAAACTAATTTTCCTCTCTGGATACTGAACTGAGTCATCCACACTGTCCTTAGTTCACACACGTTACTCTTAGCTCCTCGTTTACCATATGTGCCGTCTTCCACATTTTTTACTAATTCTGGCCTCTCTTCTTCAGAATACCTATATGTATATGTACATTATTTGTGTTTTAATACATTCAATAGTCATTCAGGGAGTGCCTACTGTGTGTCACATGCTGTGTTAGGAGTTGGCCTACAATAGAGAGTGACAAATAGTCCCTGCTCTGCAGTCGCTCACAGTGGGACATACTGACCCACAGAAACATATAATTACAACCAAGAGCAACAAGAGCCATGATGGGGAGAGAATACGAATCTTGGGAAAACTCATACATGTCGGTGACAACTTTTCAGAAGATTTTTCTTCTAAACTGAAATCTTAAAGATGACGGGGAGTTAGCATGATGAAGGGGAAGAAACAGAAGGAGATCCATGCGAAAGACTCTGACGAGGGAGAACTCAGGGTATTCAGGGGACAGACAAGGGAGTTTAGTGTGTCTGACTTTGGTGTGTGAGGGGCAGATGGCGAGATATAAGTTTGGAGAGAGAACTGTAAACACCACAGGAGATGGTAAGACAAGCAACTCTGTGAGTCTTAAGAAGCAATTGAAAATTTATGCAGTGGTATTGAACGGGCTTTTATTGACTTATGAGAATTGATTTTAAATTTTCAGGGAGCATAAGCCAACTTAATTTGGGGAGCTTGTAATTGGCTGTGGTAGGAGGGTTTACACCACAGAGATTGGCAAAAGCCACGATTCACATTCCCACCCCACCCTCACCCTCCAACCCTGGAAATTGCTGGTAAATAGTTAACAACTGACTTTCCAAAATTTTTTGTAACATTTTCAGATTTGCAGGAGAGTTGTAAAGATAGTATAGTGTTCCCATATAGTGTATTCATCTTCCCCTAATACTAACATCTTACATAAACATAGTCCATTTATAAAAACTATGGAATTATCATTTATGCAATATTATTAATTAAATTGCAGATTTTATTAAGGTCTCACTGTTTTTTTCATTAATGCCCCCTTCTCGCTCCAGGATTCAATCCAGGACACCACGTTGTACTTCGTTGTCATGTTTCCTACGTCTCTTATCATTTGTGACCGTTTCTCAGACTATCCTTGTTTTTCATGACTTTGACATTCTTGAAAAGCATTATTCAGTTCCTTGGTAGATTGTCCCCTAAGTTTGGGTTTGTTTTATTTTATCCCATGATTAGACTAGATTTATGGGTTTTCAGGAAGAATTCCACACAGGTAAAGTGCTCTTCTTATCACATTCTACCAGGATACCTGGTACACTGATGATATCAACATGACATCATTGGTGAAATTAACCATGATTTCTTAATTAAGGACGTGTCTGCCAGGTGTCTCCAGTGGGAAGTTACTATTTTCTCTTTTCAATTCTCTATTTGTTAGAAGTGAGTTAATAAGTTCAGCCCACATTCAAGGGGAGGAGACATGAGCTCCACCTCCTTGAGAAAAGATCAAAACAAATGTGGACATGTATTAAAGCCACCACAGTAATAAATATTTTAGAGAAGATATTTTGAGGCTAGGGAAGTATCCTATTTCTCCTTAAAGTTTCACCTCTTAATTTTTACATTCACATGTAGAATTTGCCTGCAGTAATTACTACTGTGATGTTCAAAAGATGATTTTCCATTTTCCTCATTGATTTTTTTAAAATTTGTCTGTAAAAAAGATTTGTCCCTTCTCTCTCATTGTTTATTTACTAAATCATCCATTCATATCAGCATGGACTCATGAACATTTACATTACTCTTTGGGATATGACCAATATTTATTTTGCTGCTCAAATTTTTCCAGCTTTTGCCATTGGGAGCTGAATTGGCTCCTGTGTAGTTTTCACATGCCTCAACCCTCCCTTCCCATTTTTAGCATTTTCTTATTTCCCAGAACTGTAAGGTATTCCAGACTCATTCCCTCTTGCAGACCTAGAACTTTAATTTCTACAGGAAGCCCTGATTTCTTCTTCTTTTCTTATTTTAAAAATTATATTTAGAAACCCCTACAGGATTCATTCTACCACTCACCTCTCCCACCATGCTTATTTATAACCCTTTTCCTGAATGTAAGAAATCTGATAACAATTATCCAAATTTTATTTACTTGTCTGTTTAAATTTAGTGTACATGTAAAGTTGTTCCAGAATTGCTAACCAGTATTCTTTTTGGTTTTT